GAATAAGCACCTGCCTGGCAAGCATAAGGTCCTGAGTTCAATCCCCAGTACCACAAAACAAAATAAAATAAAATCTCTAAATATACATTGTTTTTACTCCTAGTATGGTGAAATAAATTCCTAACTTAATGAATAAAAAAAATTTTTTAATACACTAGCTCTATAAATATTTCATCAGAATCAAGTATGGTGGCACACACACGAAAACCCTAACATTCTGGGAAGCTAAAGCAGGAAGATCACAAGTTCAAACCCAGCTTGGGCAATTTATGATTTAGCAATACCCTGTCTCCAAAAATGTAGGGCCGGCTAGATAGCTCAGTGAACTAAGTGCCTGTTTAGGCAGACACAGGGACCAGGGTTGGATTCCCAGCTTGCCATGCCAGCCCCCTCCCTGGGGTGCGCTGAGACTGAGACTGGGCATGGTGGCACATGCCTGTAATCCCCACACTTGGGAGGCTGAAAATAGGAGGATCACTATGAGTTTGATCTGTGTAGTGAAACTGGTACTAAATACATTAAAAAAAAAAAAACAAACTAAAAAAGGATTGATGTGTTGCTCAATGTGAAGGCCCTGGGTTTAATCCCAGTAGTGAAAGGAAAAGAACAAAAATATGTATCAGTTCAATAGTCTTGTAATTTCAGATTCTCAGCTCTAAGAGTGATAGTTTAAATTAATCACACTTTCAATCTGTTAATTATATCATCTTTATTCAAAATTCTATTGCCGGGGCCGGGGAGATGGCTCAGTGGAATAAGCGCTTCCCCGGAAAGCGCAAGGGCGCAAGGGCCTGAGTTCAATCCCTGGTTCCGCCAAAAAAAAAAAAAAAAAAAAAAAAAAAAAAATTCTATTGCCATATTATCATCATTATAGTATTACAAGCTAACAGGCTCACTACCCATGAAGTCCTTAAAACCTAATACAGGCATAGTGAGTACGCTTAACTTCAATTTGTGCAAGTGTCCTTTTTTTTTCAATTTAAAAAAAAATTATTTGGTACAGGGTCTCACTGTACAGCTTGAACTTGTAGCAATCCTGTCTCAGCCTCCCCAGAACTGGGATTATAGGCATGAACCACCACCCAGTTTCAGTGGCCAGCATGAGGCACCTGGGGTTCCAGGACAGGCACAGCATGTGGTACTGGGGGTCAAACTCAGGCCCCTGCACATTTCCCCAGCCTCCTAGTATCCTGAGGGGAAGCAATTACACTCCGGGCCATGAAGGCCAGCAGGTGCCACTGTGCTGAATCCTTTTGCTGCAGGTACAGGGGAATCCATGGCTCACTCAGGAGACTACAGAAGCTCAGCTTCTCAACCATTTTCAAGTCCTTACATACCTTTTGCCTAAGTAACCACAGAACCAAGATTTTTCGAGTGTGAAGACGCTGAAACTAACTTTGACTCTGGAGACAGATATCTGAAGATTATGAAAATTCAGAAATGTGTCCCAAGTAAGTATTCTAGACCACAATATAGCTTCATTTTTCTAAGTACGGGCTTCCTACGATAAGAATTTTTTCAATACTTAAAATATTAAAATGAAAGTAAAGTTAGTTCCCCTTTGTTTGGAATGTGATATGCCATTTAACATTTCAGAGAACCTTGACTATAATTTCAATACAGGTGTACTTCTGGCTGCAGAACCTAAAATGATGATCTTGATTATAGTTTGTGCTGTTTTCTTATGTAGATTTCTAATTACTATAAATTTCACTTGATATGTACTTTTCTACTAGAAGTGAACATCAGATAAAATTTAAACTATGGATCAATTTTTTTAAATTATTTTACCTTTAGGCTATTGTCAGAGGTATCTGGAAACAAATTAGTACTCCTACAGTTCAAAATCCCTACCTTGTCTATCAAATAAACATTAAGATGGTGAATTAAACAAAACTAAAGAGAAGAATGTATAAAAAAAACCTTAGTATAGAGTATGGCTATGAGTACATAAACTTATTCTTTATCCTCAATCTGAAATAAATAGCATACTTTTCTTTTTAACAAAAAAGGCTTAAGAAAATGAGAGGAAAGATCTTAACTAATGACTCAAAAAACCCCAAAAACAAACAAACAAAAAAACTCACTGGGGAATGTGAAATCTGATTTATTTGCCAAAGCATTTTCTTTTTCTTGTATTTAGTTCAGGGTCTACAGGGTCTCACTACACAGATCTGACTCATAGTAATTCTCCCATTTTCAGCTTCCCAAGTGCTGGGATTACAGACACGCGTCACCATGCCCAGTCTCAATCACCATTTTTGCAAGCCCCATGGGCGGGGCCAGCACAGCACGCCTGGGATTGAACTGGGGGCTGCACTCTGCCTAAGCAGGTGCTGAACTATCTATCAGGCCTGCCCTGTTTGCCAAAGCACTTAAACACTTTGAAACACATATCTTAATTTTTACCACAGTCAAATATTTAACTGAAAACTAAAGCCTAAAACTTTGTAAAGCAGCAATGATTCACCCATAATTTTGTTTAATACTTTATTTTTTTTTATTTATTTGAGAGAGAGAGAGAGAGAGAGAGAGAGAGAGAGAGAGAGAGAGAGAGAGGTGTGTGTGTGTGGCCAGCTCAGCCCACCAGGGGGCGGGGCTGGCTGGCATGTGGTGCTGGGGGATTGAACCGCGGTCCCTGATGCTTTAGCTAAGCTTGTTCTAAGTAGGTGCTTTAGACCACTGAGCCATCTCTCCAGCCCCTCACCCATAATTTTGAATGAACAATTTATTAGTAGATTGTGTTCTTTTTACTGCTAATTCAGCTTAAGGATTAACTGGCGGTTGCTATCTCCATTGGGGACAATGAAATCAAAACGTTCTGTCCATTCTCTCCTTCCAAGGTGACTTCCTGCTGTGGCTTAGATCTACAATGACCCCAAGCCTCACAGATGTGGAAGACAACTGGCCTATGGAACTGCCTGAGCTGCTGTTAGTGGGGCCTAGTGGGCGGCACTCACTGGAGGTGTAACCTACAAGGGTGCACAGAACCCACAAGCCCATTCCTCAGCTCTCACTCTGCTTCCCGCCTGCCCTGCCATCTCACCCAGGAACCAGCCCACTAGAGACTGAAACCTCAACAGACTATAAGCCAAAATAAACCTTGCCTCCATTACACGGCAGGTGTTGCTGTATTGTCCCAGCAATCAGGAAAGTTACTAAGATAATTACTTTGTTTAAACAAGACCATAATTCTATCCCATCTTCCCTAGCCTGTTATCATAAGACAGCAGTACACAGCAAATGAGTACCTGCTTTTGAAAAGCAATTTTACTTTAATGAAATGTATCTATTTAAAGGAACACAAAGCAAAGAAAGAAGTATAAACAAGAAAGGTGCTGACTACAACACTAGGTAAGTTATCAACAACAAAAAAATTCAACAAGGTTAAAAAAATAAGTTTAGCACTATCTAGTAGAGTTGAGTGTGTGCATTGTCTATAACCTGGCAATTTCACTTATCAGAATATATTCCAAATACATTAAAATGTACATCATGGTAAAATTTAAAACTACTGAAAGATGCTCTTGACATAGTTAAGGAAGAATGAAGAATCATATTTACTTTATACATTGTAATTATCTTACAGAAAATCGGTGTATTATTGAAGTTAACAATCTGGGGCCAGGCAGATGGCTCAGTGGACTAAGCGCTTCCCTGGCAAGCTCAAGGGCCTGAGTTCAATACCCAGTTCCACCAAAAAAAAAAAAAAACCAAAAAAAAAAAAAAAAACCATTTATGTATACAATCATGAAAACCACTCAATTGAAACTCCTATTCATTCACTATTTCTGTCTAAAGCAAAATCCTTTTTTAAAAACTAATCACAAAGCAAAGCAAGGTGCACTAAATTCAACATAGATTAAATCTTTAATTGGCTGGCAGAGAAAAATATGCTTTTTTACTTCATTAGTCAATGTTCCTGCAAATGTACAGATTTACCAATTATACTAACTCAGAAAAACGCAAATGCCTTTTCCCAAAATGCACTGTCACCTTTCCATAGCCCCTTCTTGCCAAAAGTTAGGTTTTAATATAAAAGTTTCTATGTATACTATTTCAAATCCAACTGGTATGATAAATCTTTTCTTCCCTTCTCCTAGAACTCAGCCAGAAAACAATATAAAGCCAGTTCTCTTTCTCACAAATACTAAGGAAAATGTAACTGAAATATAGAAGTTTGATAGTCAACTACTTCCAATGTATACTTAAGGGACAGTGGACAATTTTGAGTGCTACTGCTCACAGCTAATGTTAAAAGTATTTTTTAAAGTATTTTAGATATATTATCTAATTTTTTACTAATTTCTACATACTGACAAAATACCAACTCAGAAAGTACATGATTAAAACAATGAATTTTTATTTAACAATTTATAACAGTGGGGCGTATAATGAATTAATATTTACTTCAAAGTATTCAAACTGAGTTGATGTACTACATTAAAAATCAAAAATGTGCTGTTTCTTATTTATACTTTAGGAAGAATCTCAGCAAAATCTCTAACTCAAACTTTTAAATTAGTTCATAAAAAATTATAAGCAGAAATTAAACAACAAAATTCTAATTTACATCTATACCTAAGCTAGGAGATCTTGGACAAGTTATAGAACATAAAATCCAAGACTCTCCAGTTGCAAAAGAGAAAGATATTATTACACCTGTTTTGTTATTCCACAAAGCTGATAAAAAGAAATGAAATATCCTATGTGAAAATTCTCTGAAAAATATAAAACAAGAAGCGGACAGGTGTCCTTAACAATAAACAGACATTATCCTACAAGAGTCAGAAAAAAAAGTTTGACCCATTCTCCCTGTAAAGATTAAAAGAAAAATAAAATCAGAAGAAAATGACAGAGTATGAATAATGCAGGGAAATTTACCCAAAGTAGTGGGGAAATACAATACTATGAAATAATTCGTGAGCAGAAGTATCAGCTCTAAAGGGACTAAACATATGCTTAGGGAATCAACCACAGTTAGTACTTTTCAGACTTACCTCTGCCCACTTAAGAATACAGGGCATACAGAAGACATGATTACAACTTTCTGGAAAACCAACTTCCTTCTCTAATAGGTAATTAAGGCATATTGGACATCTGTCTGCTTCACTGTACAACAGACCGGCAGCAGCAGTATTATTTCTGCTTCCTTCACCTGTAAAGTAAAACAGCCACATGTACTTTCAGGTCCTCCAAAACCAAATGATTCTGGTTTATGACAATATGGTAAGGGTCCTTCTACCTCAAGGTAATTAAAAGCCTAGATAAATAACAAACATAGTCCTTAAGTCCAATAGCCCCAACATTTACTTATATAACATATACACAGGGGTAGTTCTGGGAACTGAACTCATGGTCTTGTACATGCTAAGCACACACTCCCCCACTGAGCTACACTCCCAGCCAACTTCATTATTTAATGTGGGAGCAACAGGAACTTTAATTTCAAAATAAGTAATATTCACAGGGTTCGAAGTCAAAAAGTACACTAGCCCCACCCATGGGGGGCACTGAAACGGGATTGAGACTGGGCATGGTGGTGCACCCCTAAAAGTATAGCACTTGGGAGGCTATAAACAGAAGAATCACTACGAGTCCGATCTAGTAGTGAGACCCTGAACACCCGGTTGTAGACCCTTCCCTAAAAAAACTACAGAAAAAAAAAAATAAATAAATAAACTAGTGACAAATCTCTCATTTAAGTGTATCCCCAACTATCCAGATACATTCAATACAGAAAGTAACTGTTACATTTTTTCTGTATTCTTTTAAAGGACAGAAAAGCGAATCTTGATATATATGCTTCCATATTTCCTTTACACAAATACTACACTATATACATGAGTCTGCCAAAAAAACAAAAACAAAAACAAAACCACACACACACACACACACAAAAACACCAAAGTTCATTCACTTATTTTCAGCCTTTGGCTACAATAAACAATGCTGCAATGAAAAATTTTCCAATTTAATAGCTTTAAAGGTATATTAAGAGAGGGGCTGCAGAGATAGTTTAGCGGTCTAAGTGCCTGCCTGGCAAAAGCAAGGACTGGGTTTGATCCCCAGCAACTGCATGCTGTTGGAGCTGATAGTGAGGCCCTGTACCAAATATATAAATTTAAATTAAAAAATTTTTTAAAAGATGTAATATATTCCTAAAAACAGAATTGTTAAGATCAATGTATGTGCACATCTGTAACATGACTACATTAAACAGACACAACTAAATGACCCTCGTTATGATTTATATAATTTAAACTACCAACAATCTAAGCAACCAAGTATGTATCACTAGCTCACAGGCAAACAAAAGAAATCCTAAAATTCAACATAAAATAAAAAATAACAATAAAGGAAAGAAAGGCCAGCAAGATAGCTCAGCAGACTAAGTACCTGCTTTGGCAAGCCCAGGGACCAGGGTTTGATTCCAAGTCCCACATGCTGCGCCGGCCCTGCTCCCAGGCACAATGTGCCAGGAACCAAGTTCAGGCATGGTGGCACACACCTGTAATCTCAGCGCTGGGGAGGCTGAAAACTGCAGGATCACTACGAGTCTGAGCTGCGCAATGAGACCCTGTACCAAATACATAAAATGAAAAAAACAAAAAAGAAAAACAAAAAAAGAAAAGAAACAATAATAATAAAGGAAAGATACGCTGAAATGTGAACAACGTAAGAGGAAATGCTTTTTTTTCTTCTTATTCTTGTGTCTCTTTTTTTTTTCCATTTATTCCCCTTTCTTTTAAAGAAAAAAATAAAAATAATTTTTTTTTAAAAAAGGGGAAATACTTATTTCTCCTGGGTGCAAATGTCCATACTAGTGTTCAGATTAGAGACTAAGGCAGGGGAACTGATACAGGTACTGAGACCCCAGTATTAAGCCAAGATCCTTAAGTAGGGTGAAAGGTGGGTCCCAAGAAGAAACAAACAGAAATCAGTAGTGCAAACAACCCTTAAGTTAAGTACTTGTGAATCTATACATAAAATTTATTAAGCATTATGAAACCTAAGAAAATAAGCCACCTTGAGTTAGAATCAGCAGAAACAAACCCTGGAAATCTACTGGCCTCAAACAGAATTTTCAAACTGCACATAAAATGACTAACAGCATCTCAGACCCAGAAGAAAATACTAGTGAATTTTTGAAGTCAAATTCAAAGAAACTATCTAGATTCTAAGAGAAAGAAAAGAAGAGGTAATCATGAAAAATAAGACTAGAAGGCCAGGCATAGTGGTGTATACCTGTAATTCCAGCTTGGAAGACTGAGGCAGGATGATCACTACAAATCTGAGGCCAGCCTGGGCTACAAAGTGAGTTCAAGACCACTCTAAACTGCATAGTGAAACCCTACCTCAAAAAGACGAGAAAAAAAAAAAGAGAGAAAGAAATAAGCACAAGACATAATATACTAACTGAAATGCAGATGAGAAAAAAAGAGGAAATGGCTGAGAATGATTTAAAAGCATAAATAAAGGAAACAACATATGTTAACTAACAGAAATGAAAATATCCTAATCCATACCCAGAAACAATAACGTAAATAATAACTATAAACCAAAGATGCTGTGGATTTAGCTCAGTGGTGCAACACCAGTCTGGCAAGCATGAGGTCCTGAGTTTGATTCCTGGTATGTTCCCCAAAAAATAAAACATCGAAGATAAAAAATAAGACCTTAACAGCATAAAATGGGAAAAGACATATTTAGAAACAAATACTTAGCCCAAGATTTCCATACACCAAGAAAGAAAATAATTAAAGAATATCTTCAAAGTGCTAAGAGGAAAAAAAACCAATTATATAACCAAGAAACTATCTCCAAATAGCTTTCAAATATAAAAATTTAAGGGTATATAACCAATTGACAGATTGTCACTAAAGTAATTACTTAAGAATACTTAAAAGAAGAAATCAATGGAGGGGACAGAGACCCCAGCAAATATTTTAAACATCTAATTTGTGGTATTTAAAAAGAACCAAAATAATGGATAACTATAACCTGTAAATCTAAAACAGGATGATAAGTACTGAAATGTTCTAAGGGTCTTCAGTCGATGATGAAGATTAAAGTCAAAAGCAGAGGAAAACACTGATGCTTTTTTTATTTTAAATTTTTTTGTGGTACTGGGGATTGAACTCAGGATCTTCTGCTGAGCTATCTCCCCAGCGATTGATGCTATTTTAAAGACAATAAAAACAAACTCCTAAGCCAAGAGAGCTTACACAGTTATTTACATATGTATGTATGTTCATATGTATGTATGTTTGTATGTATGTATGTATGTATTTAGTACAGGGTCTACAGGGTCTCACTACATAGATTGGACTCATAGTGGTTCTCCGGTTTTCAGCCTCTCAAGCGCTGGGATTACAGGCGTGTGCCACCATGCCCAGTCTCAATCAGGGCAGCATGCCCAGGGTGGGAGTGGGGTGGCAGGCATGCCACGGATCAAACCCCAGTCCCTGCGTCCACTTAAACAGGTGCTTTAGTCCTCTAAGCTATCTGGTGGGACTGAGCTTACACAGTTAAACAAGCTGAAAAAGATAAAAAGAAAGCATACAGTTCACCAAGATTTTTTTACAAAATACACAGTTTAACAAGTCAAACAAAAACTTTAACCAAAATTAACGCATGTGAGGAAAAATATATATGCTTATAAGTAGTTTCAGAATTTAAGAACAAAAGTTAAGTAAAATGAAAAAATTTGTATTTATTCATGTATACAAATAGACATCGTGGAAACACCGGACTTTGCTTTCAACACACAGCTTTATGAAAAGGAAAAGCTGGGTCAGATAGATCAGCGGATTAAAGCGCCTGCTTAGGCAGACACAGGGGCTGGGGTTCAATCCCCGTGTGCCGTGCCGGCCCTGCCCCTGGAGCGTGCGCCTGTAATCCCAGCACTTTGGAGGCCAAAAACGGGAGGATCACTACAAGTCCGATCTGTGTAGGAGACCCTGTACTAAATGCATTTTAAAAAAGGAAAAGTTACCTTCCATATCGTCATACTCTTGATCTCCCATGTGCAGGGCACACAGAGTTTTCTTCTTCATTTCTCCTTGAGAAAGCGTTTCCTATAAAACGAATCATAATAGAGAGGTTTTTATGTTTGCCTTCTCTAAAATGTCAAGTAAGCAATAGTGAATTCTAAACTATAACAAATTATTTTACACATAAAAGAACATAGTACAAGCCAGTTAGTTTACAGTTAATACTCTTTTACAGAACCTGCAATAAAGATGAAATCTTACTTAAAAGCCTTATATGGCTACTAAATGAGAAAAGCTAATAATAAATTCAATAATAGACAAAAATACAGTCCAAAACTAGAGAAAGGAGGACTTGAAATGGAGTTTTTTATGAGGAATGGCAGGTTATGCACTGAAGACCTCAGAACATCCAAAGAGCAACATAGCACAGAAAAAAAAAAAAAAAAAATGCTGTTTAGCTAAGCCAACCTAAGGAGAACAAGTGCAAGTGTATCTATGTACACAGAGGAGAGGTGAGAATGCAAACCAAGAACTTCATCTCAATGACCACACTGAATAAAGCAAGCACAGCAATGCAGGGCTCTAATGATTGACTAAAAGTTTATTTCAACCTTACAATTCCTTTGAAGAAAAGTAACATGACAAAAGTTATTTATGGCTGCAGGTGAGGCTCAGTGATAGACCACTTGCTAGCTGGTGTGAAGTCCTGGGTTCCATCCCCAGCACTGCAAAAGAATAAAAGATGATACATGTTTACATTTTTTAAAAGACTGTTATGTCAAGAAAATGTAGAATGAATTACAGAGGGGAGAGATTGACTAGATGCAAAATGACTTGTACAGCTTGAGTTATCTGGTTGTAAAATGAAAAGCAAGAAATTAAAGAGCTAATTTCTGAGGTGAACAAATAAGGGAAAGGAGTCAGATTATTCCGGCCTAAAGGATTAGGACAATAGTGACTCTATGAGGCAAAAATGAGAAACACTGAACAGGAATTTGGCATTCAAAGGAAGAAATGTGTGAGGTATTTTTTACTCAATTCTTAGTATTTGTCGTTGAAATAACACAAGACACATAAGTGCAATGCAAAGTCCAAATATATTTTAGAATTTCTAGGCACAAGAAATCTTACAAGCAGCCTATATGTCTGCTAAAAGATAAATGAACAAAGTGTGGTATTTACACATAATGGAGTACTATTCTGCCAGAAAGAACTTAAGAGTCATTTGTAGGAAAAGCATGCACCTTTAAGCCACAATGTTAAGTGGTATGAGACACACAAGATTAACTATCATATAGTTTCTCTTATATGAAAAACCCAAAACATAAAGAGCAAAATAAAAGGGAAACGGGAGTAGGGAGACACCCCTTTTGCAAAAAGAAAACAAATCAAGAGATTGAGGAGGGACAAGGGTAGGGTAGGTGAAGGAGACAAAAAAAAAAAAAAAAAAAGAATCAAGATGTCAGGGGTACATGCACCAACTCCTCACAAGGAATATAATCATTATGTACTGCAAACACATACTAATAAAATTACAGAAGTTAAGAAAAAGAAATCTCAAAAAAAAAAGAAAGAAAAAAATGTCCAATTTGCAGGCACTTAAGCCACTGAGCCATCTCCCCAGTCCTATTTTCTAAAATAATATACACATTCCAATTTCCACCTTAAAGACGACTTCTCCAGAAAAATCCTGTATTTGATCAAATGGAAAAAAAAAGTCTCACATTTTGGTTATAAAACCAACTGCAGCTGCCTTCCTTCCATCCACTCAGCCAGCTAGCACTGAAAGAGTGCTTGAAGTTACAGTATTCAGTAGTAATATAGACAGGAAATGGTTCAGTGGTACAACCATGTGCGTGGCAAATACAATCACTCATGAAGCTCTGGGTTCACGCCCCAGCAGTCCCCAAAATCTTTTTTTGAAAGCTATTAGGGAAAATAAGTTTTTTGGTTTTTTGAGACAGGGTCTCACTATGTAGTTGAAGCTGACTTTGAACTCCCTATGTAGCCTAAGCTGGCCTCAAAATCACAGCAGTACTCCTGCCTCAGCTTTCTGAGTGCTGGGACTACAGATGTGCACCACCATACCCAGCCTGTAAGTTTTTAAAATAGCCATTAAGAATCAAGATGGCAGAGTGGTGAGCAACAGCAAAATTTAGTCTGAGATCTGGAATCCAGAAACTGGGAAATAACAATCTGGCAAAAAGATAAAAGAGCAGACTGCAGGAATTGGGAAAGAACTGAAAGGCAAATCAAAAGCTATGGAAAAGTCTGACAGTTGGACCACAACACAGACCAAGAAATTGATAGATGTTTTCCACAGTATCGAGCAGAGAAACAGGCAGAAGGAAAAAGGGAAAGGGGCTTTAACATCTTGGAGGACACAAGAGAGAATCTCAGGAAGATAAGGAATCCTCCAGACTGGAACAAAGGGAGGCTGAGGCTTTTATGGCCTGTTGCCAAGGGTGGGGTTTGAGGGGATGTTTAGATACACCTGAGGGGCTGACTGGGGCCTTCCCTGAGGGGGCGGGAAGGGTGAAAGGAAACTGCACCCTGGGCGGGGCTGAAGAAGGGGGGAGGTGGTCTCTGGGAAGATGAGCTGTTGTTTTAAGGGCTTCAGCCATATTAGATGACCACCATAATAACTCAGCAATTCATACTAGGGCCAGCACCTATCAGAGACAGTCTTGGCCTCTGTCCCTGGCTCATGGAGAGGGGAGCCTCTAAGAAGCAAAATATTGCTGGGCACTACTGGAAACACAAGCTGCAGCAGACTGGCCCAGCAACGCAGGCTCCAGGCAGTTGTGAGCTGCAAGGAGCGCTTGGGGTTTACTCCAAGGGGAGTCTTCTGCATGGCAGCCAAGAGTTGGGTAGAGATCCCAAAACAGGCACACACCATGTTGCTGGAGAGTGTTTGGTTGGGAAGAAGTTTAGAACAGCCAGGAGATGGCTTCACTTCAGTCTCAGTGACTTGGTGACAGCCACAGGACAAAGCCATGGACAGAGTGCACTAGGAAGAGACCTGCCAAGGGTTTTGAGCATGGGATGGGAAAGACACAAGCCCAGGTCCTCGCTGAGAGGCCAGACCCAGCTGGAGTTGCACTGAGAAAGTGCTGGAGAGCACGGAGTATCTGAGACCTTGCCCCACTGTACACACCCAGCACAAATCTCGGGTCTGACTGCCTTCTGGCACCAACGGGGTCACATGAGGCACACAGACATCACCACAGCACAGGATAAACAAACCCAGTCTGTAACACTAAGTGGAGAAGATCATGAATTCCTAGACTCCAAAACTATGGATGCAGGATGAAAATCACTCATTCAAAACAAAAACTGGTTTTTTTTTTTTCCCTTTCCACTTTCATTTCCACTGGTTTACTGGGGCTTAGGGAATTTTTCTGCCCTTCCTTAGGTTGGTGTTTTGTTTTGTTTTGTTTTGTTTTGACTCTTTCCCCTTTTTTTGTATCTCTTTTCCTTTTAATTTTATTTTTTCTTATCTTTATTCTCCATGTTACTTTTCTTCTTCCTTTCCTCTTCTACCTCCTATTTCATTTAGGTGGGGTTTTTTGTTGTTGTTGTTCCTTCATGCAATTCTATAAATATCATTGTACTTAACAGGATCCTTTTTCTCAGGTTGCTCTTCCTTCTCATTCCCACTGATTAATTTTTCCAATTTTCCTTCTTGCAGTCTTCTGTTCCCACACTTATCTCTCTCATAGTATAAGCATCAAGCAGGATTAACCTTTATACAGCTGATGCTATGTGCTATATTTTTACTGCTATCAATAGCTGTTGGACTTAGTACATATGTGCTGTATGTCAGCATCCAGGCTGCCTTAGTGTTCATGCAATACAACAATTGTGGATTTCTTCTACGTGGGCGAGAGCAGTACACTATTGGTTCTTATAGTATGTCAATATCCAATTTATCTTGGACAATATTACTGTTGCAGATTGTCTGATATTGCCAGGATTAACTGTTGCTATTAATGAGTTTTCTCTGTGTGCAAATGCCCGTATTACTTCTGCAACATTAATGGTACTATATGAGCCAGCAAGATAGCTCATAGGCAAGTGCAAGGACCGGGGTTCGATCCCTGGCACCACATGCTGCACTGGCCCCGACCCTGGGCATGCTGAGCCAGCCACTGAGTCTGGGTGTGGTGGCACATGGCTATAATCCCAGCGCTGGGGAGGCTAAAAACAGGAGGATCACTAAGAGTCCGAGCTGGGTAGTGAGACCCTGTAGCAAATGTGTTAAAAAACAAAAACAACTACACATACTATAGTCCAATCTCAGAAAATTGTGTGCTAGACCCAAGTACACTGCATCCTCCCCTCCCAAATTAACATAAGCAATTGGATTTTGAAACAGAGCTAAGTATTATAGTGAGCTATGTCCAGAATGCATAACTGAAAAGCAGAGTAGGGGCCGGGGAGATGGCTCAGTGGAATAAGCACTTCCCTGGCAAGCGCAAGGGCCTGAGTTCAATCCCCGGTTCCGCCAAAAAAATAAAATAATGAAAAGCAGACTAACTGAAGATCTCTCCTTTCTAGGAACATTTTTTCCACTAGTATAAGTGCCTACAAACCTAGCTCACAAAAACAAAAGAAACAAAAAATATTTCACAGAAACATAAGAAGACAAGGCAACAAACTACTATCCAAAATTCGCAACTCCCCCACAGTCAATCCTGGGAATCTCAAAAAGAGAAAAGCAAAAGTCACATATTTCAAAATGATGGCAGGAAACTGAAGAAAAAACCCAAAACACACACACAAAAAACCAGATCAGTGATGTGCTCAATGGATCACAGAAACTATAACTATGTAGATAAAGTGTGAAAACAATCTGGGAGTTTACAGAAGAGACTAATAAAAAGCTAGTATTTTCAATCCCTGGCTTGCCATGTCAGCCCCGCCCCTGGGGCAGGCTGAGAAGGCAACTGAAACTGGGCATGATGGTGCACCTGTAATCCCAACACTTGGGAGGCTGTAAAGAGGCAAATCACTATGAGTGTGATCTAGTATTGAGACCCTGAACACCCCATAGACCCTTCCCTAAAATACAGAAAAAAAAAATAATAAAAATAAAAAGCTCGTGCTAAACAAAATGATACAAAATGTCAAAGGTCAATGTAGCAAAGAATTAGAATCCATGAAAAGGTTCCACACAGAAATTCAAGGGACAAAAGTATACTGAAAGCATGAACAGTGTAAGCAACCAATGTGATGACAAATTAGCAGAATTAAAATGTATGAATGCTTTCACAGACCAATTGCTCAGAGACCTTAAAAACAGTAAGAGAAGGGCTCGCGAGACAGCTCAGCGGACTAAGCGCCTGCTCAGGGAAGTGTAGGGACTAGGATTCAATCCCTGGCACCACATGCTATAACAGCCCCACCCCCGGGTACACTGAGCTGGATGACCAAAAACCAAGTCCAGGTGTGGTGGCACATGCTTATAATCCTGGCGCTAAGGAGGCTGAAAACAGAAAGATCATTCCAAGTCCAAGGTGCCTAATTAGACCCTGCACAAAATACAAAAAACAAAACAAAACAAAACAAAAAAAACCCGGTAAGAGAAGAGGAAAAATGAAAGCCGTAGCTGCTGGGTGATGCAAAAAATGACTAAGATCAAATACAGTAAGTGAAAAGGGCATAACAAAGCTGGTATAAGAGAGTATAAAAGAAATAAGAAGAGAAAACTTTCAAAATACAG